ATTATAAAGCTGGAAACGTTAATTTCTGTTATCCAAAATATAAGGCGTTTAAATATTTCCTACAAATTCCGATTGTATGCATTTTAAGTGCAAACATCGTCGTTTATAGTTGGGTTATGTACAGCATTTCTAAGAATATCCTTAAAAATAACAAACGAAAAATGTTACTAAGTAAATTGGCTATAATGTTGTTCTTTATGCTTGGATTTTCGTGGATATTTAGCGTTCTTTGTAATATTATATCTACATCTTGGCTTCAAATATTGTTTATTTACACATTTTCAATATTATCAGCATTACAAGGTTTCGTAATTTTTTTAGTTGTAATTGTTTTTGATTCAGATGCAAGAACTTTCTGGTATAAGAAATTAAAATATAATTGGTCGGACACAAGAATTACTAAAAACACAACGTGGAGTAATGTTTTATCGTTTGTTGGACAATCTGATGATTGTTGTAATTAATTTTAAGTTGAATTGTTTTATTGTATTATTTAAGTTATTTTGTACTTACTCTGAATATTTTTATAAGCTAATTAAATTAAATTTTATAAATTAGTTGTGTAAATTATTTCTTAATTTTTTAGTCTAATAGCATTAATAAGTAACAAGTTTTGTAACGTTACAAAACTGAGATTAAAGTTGTCGTCACCAAAGGTCTTTGCCTGATCGAGCTATTAAATAAAGGCAATTTTAGCATGATGTGCATAACATTTTATTTTTTTTCATCGTTATATTACTTAGTTGGTAAGAAAGGAATATATCGTGCCATAAAACGGGAAAATGAAATATTAAGAAGCCACGCGCAGCCACAAAAAGGGAAACCTGAAAAGATTGAAAAGAAAAATAGAAACATAATAGTTACTGATTTATCAATGGCAACAATTTCTATCACAACAGCTGAATGTGGTCGTATAGATAAAATCAATAAACAAACTTAATCTGAAAATGTATTTAATGGAACTAAATGATTTACAAGAAAAACAGAAAATAATGGAAAATAAATCTGACAAAGGTGCAAATTTAAATTAATACTGATCTTGTAGCCTTTAATTTATAACAGACATATTAGAGAAATTGATCATTGGAAAAAGATGGGATATAAGAAATTCAAAAACAAATTGGAAGATTCAGCAACCTAACGAAGATAAATAGGGACGGAGATCATGATGACAGAATTTAAGACACAAACCAGTATAATCAACGGAAAGTAGATGTATGTGATGTATGAAATTTGAGAGGAGAATTGAACATTGGAGGTAAAAAAACTGATTTGATGGGCAGAGAGGATACATTCTGAGATTAATTATAGTATTATTAAAAAATTAAGTAGTAGACTATTAAGCCAGGAAAATGATATAATGGAGAGAATACTTTGAAGAGTTGCAGGTTCTTACAAAGTATGCAAGAACATGCAATGTAGAAGAACAAATAATAAATTAGTGAGGTTGATTGAAAATGCATGTAAAAACAGCACGATCTACATAGTAAGTAATAACCGAGAGTAGGATGAATTTACCACTCATAACGTTACGGAGTATTGATTTTCTAAAGTTTTATGGCAACTTCTGCAACCATGACAATGGGTACTCTTCAAGAGCTGCACCAAAATTGTCTCTCATGTATTGTGGTTGGGTGCCTACCGGTTTAAATCTTTATTTATCAGAATTTATTAGCAGGATGGATGATATCATCTCTTTCCTGTTTCCGGCCATCTTTCTTGCCTGATTCTAAGTTTTTCTTGTTTCCTGCATAAACCCAGCAACCACATCATTCTCGGTATCATCACCAAGTAAGTTGTTTTTCTTCAAATCATTTTAACACTGGGACAACGTTTAATTTTTGCCTGATCTTACTGGTTTTAGTTTTATTGAATCATGTTTTTCTGGATGTTTGTTAACGTCCAAGCCTTACATCTTTATGAGTTTCATACATTTTACAATTTATATTTAATTAAATTATTAAGTATATTATTATGCCTTCAGCAAATGAGGGGTATCGAACATATAAATAAGTCCTGTTATTAACAAAAATAGGAATATCTACATCAGTTTCTAGAAAGCGAGCATCTTGTAAATTGTTTGAGTACATGTTGCTTACTACCAGACAATCTGTAATATAAACGTTCTTCAAGTTTCTGATTACAGCTTTTTTGAGCACCAGTATTAAAGATCGTAAATCGTATTGAAGAGGCTGACACCATTTAAAGTTAATCCTCTAATCATTATTGACACTGTTTAAATCTCCAAATCCGATTTTATCCTTTCTAATGGCACAAAGTAACTTTGCTTCATGGCTATTTAATGTTTAATTTTATATGTTGAACTAGTAGGTAAGTAAAATAATTTTAAATAATTATAATTTAATAAATAATAATAATAATTATAATAAATTATAATTTTAAATAATGTAAAATAATTTGTCTCAAATTTGTCTTAAATGCTATTGGTTTTGCGAAGTAAGTTTTTTGAATTGAAAGGAAAACCTTCTTCCTTGGATTTTTTTCATGATGGGGCAACTTAATAAACTTAGAAGTACGTTAACTTAAAAAAATCGTCAGAATTACTAAATTTAAAAGTCAAGTCCTCTAAATTGCCATATTCGACAATATTGTTTTATCAAATTTCTTTTTTTTAAGATTACATAAAAGGCATTTAAAAGGATTTCCTGAAACAAATAATTCCTGAGTTGTCAGAAGAGGCGTTGAATGATTTTGTGCAGGATGCTGTATCTACTGAAATAATATTCAACTTCTCATTGTAAGATGTCGTATATAGCATTAAAATCAAGCTTTCCGTTAATGTTTATTAATTTATTAACAAGTACTAAATTATGCATAATTTTCTTTTTCAGTTTTTGAAAAAATTAATGTTTTCTTTCAGTAAAAAATTTTGTGAGACATATTCCAATAAACAAACCAATTTTATATGTGAAAAAAATCTAAAACCATCTAAAATGAAACGATCTCTTGGTATACCTAGCATAGCGACACCTATTATTGGATTGCTGCTATATCTTTCCCAGACAATTTCAACGTTTCTCGTTTTCAGACGAGATCGCTATATCCATATTTTTACACCTCGTTTCGAACAATCCCCTCAACAATCCTCCCGATCTTTTCTCCTCATTTTTCTTTCTTTCATTTTTAAATTTTAACCCGGCTTAGTGGAGAATGTGCAGATATACACTCGTTTTGAAGTTTTACAAAATGCAATCGGTTAAATTGCGAAGGCGTTCTTTGCCCTTTCCTTGGAGATTGTTCGTCGGTATTCGTAATGTTTTTTCGAAACGACCGCCACACCGCAGCTGAAAGACGTTAAACTCGAAGCCGCGAAAACTCCTCACTAGTGTTTATCGTCGTCATTCGATCCGAATCGCAAAATGGTTCGGAGGCGGTGTGGAGGCATTGATTTTAAAATACGACCGAGACAATCTTTACATCTTCAATACTTTGAACTCGATGAGAATATGTTGAATCGCAAAAAGTTGTTCTCTCACCTACATTTATTTTATACCGTCCTACGTTGTATTATATATTTGTGGGATGAAATTTTATTTATGTATATATTTTTGATTGCTTTATATGGGTTGTTCATAATGTTATCATTAACTCGAAATAACAATCACAGTTTCTATCTAGTTTTATAGTTATACCAACAGGTGCATAGCTCGAAGGCCCGTTCGTGACGTCAGTGCTGAATAACAATTAAAACTACGTACGTCTCTAAAGTACGTCTCTTAAGACTATTTATTTCTACTATTGGTTCAATGAAAAATATACAACAATCTAGCGCTAAATGACAACTAAAACTAGAACTAACACTACACCTAGAACTAATAGTAGACCTAGAACTAAAAACATTCTAGTTCTAGGTGTAGTGTTCTCTATTTCTAGTTCTAGGTGTAGTGTTGGATCTACTTTTAGTTATATTATTTATTATTTTGTTCGTTATATCCGATGTCCGGTATAGATCGAGATTTTACAGTATTTGTTTTATACCATTTATGTAAATTAAAGTTTACGATTGGAACAAAATAGATTATGTAACACGTTTTGTATTAATACCCATGAAGATTTATGGTTTGATTTTAACGTACATATTTACTTGCATAAGTCGTTTAATAATCAACATTGAGTAACGCGTTTATTGAACCAATACGTAATATTTATTTCTACAATTTTCTTGTTGAATCTTTTCGTACGAATACGTTTCACGCCTTACGAATATTAACATTACATCATGTCTATATTTATACATTATTTTCAGCTGACCAGTAGCGTTTTTGTTTACTTTCAGTCGTCATGGATATTCTTATCATTTTAAAATTCCCGCTGCTACTAAACCAAGATTATTGACCAAAAAATAAAATTAAAGGTGCGTATGCACTGGGAGTTATAATTTAATTTACATAATTCCCACAGGAAATATTACACAAATGGATTTGATGTGTTTTTGTAACGGATTACGGAGCAAAAATACTTCATTGTTACTCATTCTCTGAGGTAACCGGTATTTAAATGTCATAAACTTTGAATATCTTCCTCATAAAGTTCACGGCAAAATTAAATAAGTTTCGATTTAAGAGAAATTAATCCTTTATTATTAGAAACCCTTTCGAATAGATTAAATTTAGTGTTTGTCCTGCTCGGAATTGTTAAACCGTGGGGTGGCAATTTCTAATAACCACGATTGTCGTTGATTTATGTAACGAAGCAAAGATTGATAAGGTGCTTCAGTAATTAAATTACGTTTTGCCAAGTTAGTTAACAATTTATAATTAGCAAGGCACTTGATAGATTTCGTGGAGGTAACTGATGACGACGTTGTGGCTTCTTACCGCAACAACACCCTCCAACACGTGCCTTGATTTTATCAGAAATGTTTATAAACTTCATCGAATTAATTAATAAACCAAAAAAAAATGAATCATTACGTTTAAGTTTGTCGTATTCCTTGAAAAAAATATATTCCTGTCGAAAACTTTATAGAATCGACCTTTAAATAACGTGTGACAGCAACAACTTTCGTTGAAAATGAACTCATTCCGTTCGATAGTTCGTTCTTAAAGGTTTGCGTTTTAACGTTGGAGGTGGAACTCATGCCTCAGATCGTGCAAATCGCCATCAAACAGAAAAGAACCGTAGGCTACTACTTCTCGGGAAACCGTGCGTTGTTCACTTTAGTATATCGCTAACTATCGCGCTGTTTTGTGTGTTAATTCTAAAAAAAATAAAAACAAACTAATAAAAAACTAAAAAAAAGCGACTTGGTACACAAGTATTTTTTTGATTGAAATGGGTAATAAATTGTGTAAAAAGAAGAATGAAGTTGATGGTAATCATCCAAAATCAACACCATTTATACGGATAATGAGTCGATTTCATGTAAGATTCTTTTTATTTAATTATTTGTGAAGGACGACCGGTTTTTAACTTTGTTTTTGCTTATTTGTGCGTGAATTGGTAGGAGGTGATTTTGATATCATCGAAAATGTCCATGATACTCACGTATGTGGGACAGGGTTACGAGATTTGATATTCACCTGATATATTCGCTTAAAATCGTTTTCGCCTTAATAAATTTAAATCTAAAGTGTGCAAAGATCACACGAGTAGATTGGCTTCAATGAATTCGAAGAATATAATTAGACGGTGATGTCAACCGGAGTCAATTTTAAATGAAAGAAACATTTGCATTTAAAATTAGCTTATTAGATAAAACTACAAGTTCTATTTATTTTTTAGGTTACCGCCGATTATGTGAATAGGTCTAGTTATCAACGGGAACGATATAAACAAGCATTTAAAAATTTACATTTAAAAAAAGGAATAAATTTTAAGGATTTCGTGCAAAAGAAGTTCGCGATTATCTCACCTGTTTGTTTTGATAATAATGTTTAACTTTTTTATCATTTTATAAAGTCAATAGTTTCTTTCGATCGTTTTAGAAAATCATAAGAAATCAAATTTAAAAACATACTTTTTAAACTGTTTTTAAATGCTCTTCATCTCTTACAAAAATGTTGTACTTGATTATATTCGTTAACATTATTGCATTGGATTGTAAAAATCTCTTTTCGAATTTAATTGTAATTAAGCAAAAATTCGACATTGAGATTTTGATAGACTTCAACATTTTGAATGTTCGTGAATTTATTTCGAATGTTTTTGTTTTCTTGCATATACGAAGTCTATAAAGCGAAAATATTGTAATTCTGCAAAAATTCGACGGTGTGTAAACACAATATCTCACAAATAGAATTAGCTGGGGTGATGAAAGTTAGTTCAAGATTATTACACTAAACTCGAAGTTCTGTATTTACATCGGCCAACTGGAAGTGATACTTAACCTACATACATATTGAATCTTTAACATTAATACTTGCCCTGTAATTAAAGAGATATAAATTGACCAACAAGAGTGGTCTACACACTCTAGTTAGTTTTGAAAACGATCGTAACCTATTTGTTACTTTATAAAACAAAATAAGAAAATCATTATAGTAGTATTTAATTTTAATGTGAAAAGTGGAAAAAAACAGTCAATAAGACAATAATCATGAATACGTTGTAATCGTTTCTTAAATATGTTTTGAAACTTAATTATAAACAGTTTTCATCCACACAATTTTTCTCCCGCTTTAGTTTTCAAGTTAAAACAAATATTATTCAGAAACGTGAATTTAAAGATTTAGGGATTTTATGGTTCATAATTAAAAATGTGATATAGTTGGGTTAAAATAATTTATGAATTGAGTTATTGTGGTCCATTATGAACAAATTTTATTATCGTCATTTTCATTAACCGTTTATCATTTTTGAGTTACAAATCGTTTTAGTGTCACCTATGTGAAATATGAAACGTTTTTAAAAATTTAAGTTAGTTTAATCGATTCCAATTGTTGTAAAATATTTAATAGTTACAAAGTGAAGCGTCGATTTTCCAGGAAAGTATTTCTTGGAGTTTCTTTGATAATTACAAAATTTTTAATATATCTGCGATGTATTAAGAAATTTATCTGAAATACTATATTCTTCGTAGCATGTGTAAATGTTGCATTTGCAATCCTCTGTTTTGTTACAATCCGCCTACAACATAATATTTCCTTTATGTTTGGTATAAGGTCAAAGTTATGTAGAGAAAGGTCATGGTGTGTGGCCTAATTTTTCTCCTTCGCGCTGTTATTGCCTCTTTACATAGTCTGCTTTATGTGGTCTTATATTGTCAAATGAAATTTGCATAGCATAGAACAGCGGTTTTCAACCTGGGCTCCGCGTGTGCTTCTTTGGGGCTTCGCAGCCGTTCCAGGATATAAAACACCATTTATTTATAAGACACAAGGTAGGTATAAGGGGCTCCGCCACATAAATTGATTCTAAAAAGGGCTCCGCAAGTCAAAAAGGTTGGGAACCGCTGGCATAGAAAATCAAGATTTTTCTTCTTAACTCCACATTCCACTTTACTGCGTAGTAAGTTTTGAATACCACGTTGGTAGAAATCACTTAGTTTCGAGTCGAACAATTCATCCAACCAACTTCTTAAATCTGCATTAGTATTGAATGAAACTCCACGCATAACATTTGAAACAGATCGAAAATAGGTGAAAATCATGCGTTTGATCTTTCTTGGTTATATGGGCGATATGAGGTTGGCCATTATCGTGCAGCAAAAAAACTCCATGCTGCCGACTAGGTTTTCAATCCTAGTCCTACCATAAATACATCTTCGCTTTACGCTAATGAAGCTCTTGTTTCATGCATTGTGGCATTTTTTTACGGGGTTTAAGCTATTATTCCTTGTGCTGTTTCATATTAATGTACATACAGGTTTAATTTTTCGTATCCAGCAACGATACGGAAAAGCAATTGTTGCTTATGTTAATAAGTTTAGCGGTGACAAGCATGCAATCTAGCGGAGATTATGGCTCATTGATTTTTATTGTTGTCGCTTAAAACACGCAGAATCCTGCTCATCACTTCTGCATCTTTCCCATCAAGTCCCACAAGATGCTTCTATAGCGAAGTGCGGGAACATTCAATTTTCTCTGCCAGTTCCCTTGTTGTTAGACGTGAATTTTCGTGCAAAGGTTGATTTAAACGATCTTCTTCGAACTCAACTGATCGGCCAGAACTAGGTTTGTCTTTAAGGTCAACATTTTCATATTTGGCATACCAATCGCGAGCGGTTCTTTCACCTATGGAACCTATTCCATACACGTAACAAATGTCACCAGCATCTTTTACGGCCTTAAATTAACTTGAACAAAAAAACAGTGATTCCACAGAATGATGTTCCTGATATTTCGATTTGTATTTTTGACAATTTATAATTTTTTCCAATAATTATTTATTGATTGCGATTATTCCCGAAAATGTTCTTCCTTCAAAATCCTAAACACATAGGTTCGCACACTCATAGGTCATCCGTACTTTGTTGAAACAGTTTCAGCAACATGCATCTATTTTCTTGTTACCTCTAGCGTTTTCAGATAGCTTCTTTTACATTCCCCTCTAAACTATTAGAAACATTCAAAGAGCTACTTACTGTTGGGAATATACACAAATACAGCATTGAAGAAAAAAAGTGGCTTAAATACTTTTACCCCCTAGGATGGGATTTTCAACTTATTTGGTTTGTATAGCGGTCCTTAGTAACGTATCCTAACTTAGATATTTGGGATCAACACTGTCAAGAAGTTGAAATAGATTTGGTGATTGGAACCCCAAGTGTGTCTTAAAAAATTAGGAGAAATATCCGCAATGTGAGAGATAAAGCTAAGAAACAAATACGTCAATTATTCCTCAAACGCCCAAAAGATGGTGTGGGATCGTTAATAACAATAAACCATGTAAATCTTGTATGACACATATGATCACTTGTATGATATACATATGATTTGGATTATAAAAAATCGTAAGAACGATTCCTTTATAGTCCTAAATCGGAGAATTGGGGCGAAGATCTCTGAATTACTTGTTTAATGAGGAAAATGTAAGAAAGCTTTAGAGAGGTTGGCTTCATCGAACAGTGTGACATCATAAATGGTTAGAGTGACAGTAGCAGTAGATGTGTATATCAGTTGAATCGGGTTAATAAAAATTATTAGGAAACTTGTTTTACAGCGTTATGTGGATTGCAAACTTGTTTCCATGCATTTACATGAAAATTGTAAATTCATATGAATTCTAATTGTTTGCAGGTTGAGTGTCTGCAAAAACACCTAGTTGAGTACCTCTCTCCTAACTGATGAACAGTACGGTTTTAGAATAGATTTTTCAACATAATCAAGACCATCATTTTATGACCTTATAAAAATATCTTCAATCGTGTATCTCACAAATTACTACTGGATAACTTTGGGATATGTAACCTGAGAGCTGATAACATAAAATTACTGTATTCATATTTGATCAATCCAGGTTGCAACCATAACGTTTCCTCCACGGTCCAGTATTGTTTTTGGTGTTCGTTAACGATTTGACTGGTATCATCGGTGGGAGTGACATGATCTTGATTGATGTAGTTATATGTAAAATATGAATTTAGTACCCCAAGTAAGTCTTGGATTTCTCAATCAGGCCACCTTGTGTGGTTCTTGATAACGTTCCTGTCGGGTTTCTGAACATCTTTTTTTACTCTGGTTTGAGTTCTATATTAAGGACACTATCTCTACATGAACCGAGTGTGAGAAGGTGTATCAGGGTAATATCGGAATTAGATTATGGAGATTGCTGCAGTTTAAAATTTATAGAAATAGGAATTTTAACTGTTCCTTCTGTTTATATTTTAACCCACATACTGTTTTTTATCGTCATTTGTCTTAAAGGAGGTTAATCCAACAAAACAAAAAACTGCCGTCCTCTGATCGTTGTCTTTAAAAAATCACTGTTTAAAAAAATTGTAAATAAAATCTGTAAAAACTACTGCGTAAGGAGCCTAAGGAACAGATTCCTTAAACAGCCAAACAATGGTATTGACACATAAGTTTTTTGCATAAACTCTATAAACATGTTTTCTTGGTATTTTTATGCAAAGTCTAACTACAACATCCGCACAAGTGTTTAAGCTGATTTCATGTTTTTCTTGCTGGTAAGAAATGTTTCTTATAATCAAAATCACTACTACGGTTCAACACAAAAAGTTTAAAACTATCATGCTACTTTTAACCCATTTAGCTATTTTCTAGAATTACCTAAACAGATACTCTATATATTACATTTCACAATTATCTGTAACCTTAAGACGTTAAAAGTTGAGAAACCTTTATGGCTATGGCTAAACACTACTATTGAAACGCGTTCAATAAATAGGGTCTTTGTATTACGATTACAGCTACGGTTACGGTTACAGCCTTTGCAGTTGACATCCTAAACCTGTAGTTAGA